TCGCTTACGATCAGAATATATATTACGCAACAGTACGACGTAAAATTAAAATGGGAAATAACCGTGATAAAAATAAGAAGCGGCTGGCTTGGCGTTAAGAAACAGGTATAAATATGATAAACCTAATGAAATAAGTGTCTAACGACCTTTCTACTTACAGTATTAGTGATTACAAACATATCGGTACACAGCATACGACGCGCGGGGAAGTGGGGGCGAAATTAGAATTTGAGCTGACTTACTCTATCCTCTTAACCACGGCTACCTTACGATTTAAATTATTAATTTTTATTCCGAACTTAGCAGTATGAACTTATAGTATCTTGAAGTCTTGCAGCTGTATGCTTAGTACGTTGGGATTTAATTTTATTAATTATAGGATCCCAAGCAGATGGTTGTACTACATAATGTACATAATTGAGCGTGTAGTGGCAGTGTAAGAATATCCAATACCCCATATCGTCCCGTGAGTGCCGTAAGAGGTAACAGAGGGAAATTGAAGCAGGAATTGGACAGGAGCATCTTCCGGATAACAACTCAAATTACAAAGAAACTGCAGTTGCTAACCCGCCCGCCAAGCCTGCCAACTATGGCAAAGTGCCGCCTATGAGTCAACCTATGTGGTGGCTTTTGTTCAGAAGTGGACTCTTAAAGGCTGGAATGGATGGCTGGATGACACAATATAATAACCCCTTTTAGTGTCAATTAGTAAATAATAGGTGCGTAATACGGTCGACGTATCTTGGCGAGTCCGAACTTTGCGCAGGAGGCTGCGCAATAATTGTTTTTAGGAACAAAATGGTGAAATGAGGCGACGTACGGGGGGGCGGTGTTCTAACTAGAGATCGACCTTATGTAAACACTCGACAATCGACCTTTTATTCAATCAAATATCGCAATCGATTAGTTTTATTTATAAGTTATTGATTTTTGTATGTTCCCAGTTGGAAGACACGATTTACTTAAATGTCAGTTATCTATTCACGTCTACTTAAGAAACTACTGTTTGAAAAAATTTAAAACCTTAAATAATTGAAACTAAATATACTTTATATGACTTAATTTCAATCAATTTGAATAAAAATCGATTAAACAACACCCTCGGGCACGCGTATTGGACATCCCTTTTTGGTTATTTCGTAAAGCGAAATATTTGCGTTGTTATTGTTGTTAATTGTCATTATTATTGTTTTTTTTTGTTTAGTGTTATGTTTGTTTTATTTCTGTTATTTGAAAGTGTCAGTTGGCACTTATATTATTCGCCAAATATGCCACCAAAACATAATAGTGAGTGAAATAGGCCAGGCAAGAAAAATTATTTACGATTTAACGCAGTATATGACAAAAGAAAAAGAGGAAGGCGTAAAATATGTATATAAAGTTTATTTAAAAATAAACAACATTGCTTAGCATTTATTGAGTTCATAATTTTAAGGAAAATTTTAACCAATTTAAAGTCATTATGTTACTGCGCGGAAAGTTTTCTAAGCACTACAAATGTTTCGTTATAAACATTTGTAGTGCTTGGAAAACTTTGTTGGAAGAACGAATGTTAAACAATGGTTTCCATTTGCTACGCAAGTGAAGCATTTAATAGTTGATACTTTGTAAACTGCTTCTGTGTCAAAGTTTGATTACTAAAGCTTTTACGTTGTATTTCGAATTGCTTGGATTTGTTTGTTCTTTTCAAAGTTACGCAAGAAAAGATTTTCCACATTACTTCATTCCACCATTCATATGTACCATTCCAAAAATAGATAAATACATTAACTTTATTCATAAATTTTACCAAAAAAAAATCTTTTAAACTAAAACCACATTTATATAATTTATTTCAATGTTATGAATATTGTTTCAAAATGTTTTCAATTGATAAAACATAATATTTAATTTGTATAATGATTTCTTATATTTACGCGAACACTATACATGATTAAAACTACTTTTAAGGATTTTATCGCGTTTATTTTTACTTTTTATTTACTTTTATTTTTAATTCCCGACGTTTCGGGCGCTTTCCAGTGACCATGGGTGCTGGAAAGCGCCCGAAACGTCGGGAATTAAAAATAAAAGTAAATAAAAAGTAAAAATAAACGCGATAAAATCCGTAAAAAGTAGTTTTAATCATTTAATTTGTAATTGATTTTTTTTAAAGTTCGTGAACAAGCTGGTTTCAGTGTACACTCCACCCTCTATTTTAGGCTGATAGATTAAATTTTATATGTCGTCACTACTAATTATAAATAATACTGGTAAAATGAAAACCATTATATCGTGGTGTTGGTTACGCGGTGTAGTGTCTGTGCAAGGGAATCCACTACCCCAGATTATCCCGTGGGTAATGTAAGGGGTGATAGAGGAAAACTAAAAAAGGAGATGGGTAACGGCATTTTCCTGATAAAAGCTCAAATCAATATAAAAAGCGGTTGCCAACCCGCCCCGGTGGCAACTATGGTTAAAATTTTCAATACTGTTGAAAACTAAGCTGTGATTTATTATTTTAGTGAATCAATATATACCTATAGACGTCAAGGTACAAGTCTACGAATCCACCTAATATTTTCGAGCATAATATAAATAATTAATAAAACAAAATATCCGCCATGTTCTTCAACACACAAGTTACATCGCCGCACAATGTTGTCCCGAGGCCTGCTCAACAAATTTCGTTCAGGATCCAGACCCAGGGCTTGTAATTTGTCAAAGGTGGCGACAATACGACTGCGCTGTTCATCTTCGGTTTCAGAGATCCTTATGTTTACTTCATTTTTAATCTTTATTAATGTTGTATTAATCTTTAGTAATGAGGCTTTCCTCATAAAAAGAAGTCTAGAGGAGTGGGGTCGGTCGACCGCTTACCCTACTACTAACCTACCCTATTTCACATAAAATGGTCTTCACTTTATCTTTTCATATTTAATAGTTTTGTTTTAAAATATTTTAAAAGTTATTTCAATAGTACAGGCACTTCAGTTTTTTTTATATAAAAACAAATAGCAGATTAATAGTAATATAAAAGAGACATAAATAAATATAAATTACAAATTAAAATAACTTCTTTCGACGCGACTTGAGGATAATTCAGATCTGTTTTAGACGAAATTAAGCGGAAATAACTTTCGGTAAAATCTTTCGGTAAAATCTTTCGTTCGTCCGCACGCAGTTTCCGTTGAAGAGAGCCAGCGACTGATTGTACTTCGTGAGTATTTCTTTAATATATATTATATACATATTATGTGCAACTTCTCAAACTTATTTCTATTCCATTAATAAATAAAAAAATATTATAAAGTAAAACTAATAAATAATTAATAACAATTAAATATGATAAAAATATATGATTTATCAACATTTATAAGTTTTATATTAATCACGCTAAAGGCGTAACCTTTTTTAAGATTTCTGACGTTTCGAACTGTCCTCGTGTTAATAGTTTCGAGTTGAACAGTCGTTGAAAATAATTAATTAATGAAGTTAGCCGCACGTGCGGTGTTGAACATCTTGATGTCACAGAAGTCCCGGGCAGCCTCCAGCATTTTTTTCAACTTTTGTTACGATCTACGCAAAATAAATTAACATTATCTTGAAGTTTTGCAGTAGTATGCTTGGGTTAGGATTTAATATTAACTATAGGACCCCAAGCATTATATTTTGTTGTAATGGAAAATAATCCGCAGGAGACTCAACACAAACATGTTGTTAAATTTACATATCTTTTGTTAGTCACTAATCCCCCTTGTTACTTAAAAGGATTAAGTAGTAAGTTGAACCTAATCTTCCCTTGCAAGGTATAATCCTCGTTTCACTTGATGCGTAAGACGATTGACAGTCTTATGATTTTATAAATAGCTTGGAACATTTGACGCTTGTGCGGTTTTTACTACGTGCTTGGTGGTAAAAAAAACATCGTGAGGAAACATCCATGTGTGAAAAAATTCAATAGCATGTAAAGTCCGACAACACACACACTGAAGCAGTTTTGGGGACTTCATAACCCTCAAAGAAATAATAAGAGGCCTGTATTCACCTGTAAGACGTATATATGCGACTTTGTTGTCCGTCCGTACGACGTCCACCTGTCAAGACCTCTCATTAACGTGTCGATGTATCAGTTTAAAATTACAATGAAATACTAAGATCTACTAACAGTTTAGTGGCGGTGGACAAGTGTCCACTACCCCATATCGTCCCGAGAGTGTCACAAGAGGTGACAGAGGGAAATATTAGCAGCAACATCTTGCCGTTATCATCTTAAAGTAATAAAAATTTGCGGTTGCCAAGCGACACTATAGCAAAATGAGGAAGTCTATGAGGGGGCATATGTTCACCAGTGAACTTTTTAAGGCTTTTATGGACTAATGTTTAGCGTACTTTGGAGTTATAAAATAAACAAAGCTTTAATTAAGTCAAAGCAATCAAAATATGCGGCATACACTTAAATACTTGCAAGCCCTACTTTTACTTGACCTAGAGTAATGAAATTTAGCAAGAAGCAATATAAACAGCGAGATCTGTTAGGGCAAAGTCCGAAAATCGGTAATATGTAGATATATCACATCAAAAAATATTATGCGATTAAAAATTTATCTTGACGTGTTATAGTTTATACAGAACCTCAAGGCACGAGTCCTATCGCACTTGTCCGGTAGTTTTATTTACAGCGGGAATATAGTGCAATGCTATGAATCTACTACCTACAATGAAATATTTAAAACTCGTGTATCGCGAATACACAGGTTTAAGGTTGCCTGGAAGAAATCGCTTTTAGCGATAAGACCACCCATTTTGTCAATATTTTTTTTCTTCTTTCGTTTATGTATTGATTTGATATTCAATAAAGAATTATCTATCTATCTATCTATTCTCAAAAATTCGTTTCTTACAATTGTCGTAAAAATTATTAAATATATGCAGGAGTACAAAATTCATCACTAAACTCCTACTTTCAACGGATTGTAGTGGACTGATGGGACTTTATCCTGCAGTTAAAGCTGACAATAATGCTTTTGAAAAACAAGGCCGTGGAAAAACAAAATAAGGTATGTATAGTTTCGAATGAAGGCTGGTTAACGCACGACCGATTGGTTGAGGCTTTGGGCTCCTGATCCTATGCAAAACAACTATTTGTATGCCCAAAACTTGTGCAATTTATATACATAAAACGCCTCCAAAATGTAGTAAATACTTATTTAGGAACGTATAAAAAAAGAAATAATAATATTTTGATTTGCACAAAGTCGCTGGCTGCATATAGTTAATAAAATATTTATTCTACAAATGTCTTTTGAAGAAACTTTAGCACTTTGATATTTAATATTCAAAAGATTTTTATTTAAGTCTGTACAACCTACCATCTCTCTTTTGATAACAGCGTAACACGAGCGAGTTTTTAATTTCAATGGACATTCACCAAAACAATACATTGTTCCAATGACGAGGCGAGAAACAATGGTTCTCCGGCTAAAAGTAATAAAGCGAAATTTTAAATTGAAATTAATGGATATTCTTAATTTAAAATGTTAGTGTGATAATAATTTTCTAAGAAAATCATAATTGAATTATCTCGATGAAATATTAGCTTACTATTGGGTCTTTTCTTATTTGAAAACATTCATTTGTTTTTTCCTCATTATTTTTTTCTTTGGCGTCACTTATTACCGCACAATGGAAAACATGAAATATCGGTATATTTACGAGTACGAGTTCTACCGTGGTACCAGTGCTGCAAAAACAGCTGGAATTATTAATGACGTGCGTACGGCGCTGGTGCCGCAAAATAAAGCACGGTACGTTTTTAGTTTCAACGTCTTCATTCTGGAAATTTCGACCTTCAGAACCAACCCCGTGGACGGCCGGAGACCAAAGTGGAAAATGAAGAATTAAAAGGAGGTTGTGGAAGCGGATCCATCACAAAGCACTTCAGAGATAGCTGGAGGCTTTCGGAGTAAGTGATAAATTGTAATAATCCACTTGAAGCAATTTTAAGAAATTCGAATATGATTTCGATATTGATGATAATTCTGAACAAACAGAGGAACATTATTTGGACTTAAAGACTTGACTAAAGCGTAGGTTTCATGATATTACACCAATGAGTGAATCTTCACAATCTGACACAACTTCAGAACTTCCTATACTTAGACCAAAGCTACCACCAATAGCTATACCACAATTTTCTGGTGATTATAATCAGTGGATGAGATTTCCTTGATACATTGCGATGACCGCTTGTCTAAAATCGAAAAACATTATTTAAAATTTAGTTTAACAGGAGAAGCCGAACAGTTACTCAAAAATTATTCTTTAACTGAAGCGAACTATGATGATGCATGGAAAAAATTAAATGAAAGATATGAGAATAAGCGAGTGATTGTACACAATATTCTAAGTCTATTTTTAATTTAGAAAAAACTAACAACTGAATCAGCAAAAGGTATTGTTATACTATTGATATACCTTCCTATACTCGCGCGTTGGTCTATGAGACCGACAAAACACATTTTCGTTATTATTTTTATGAACGAAAATCCTGGGAAATTAAGTTCCTTGCTAGCTTCTGGATTTGTTGCTTACTTCATTTTTGTGCACGTCGCGCGTTTGTGTGAAACATACGTATTCTAGCATTTGGCGCCAATTGTTCCGTGAGACCGACGCGAGTATAGGTGTAACTTTTTGTGTAAGTATTAATATAATAGGTTTAGTGCATTTATATATATTTTACAAACTTTGAATACTTTTTGACGTATTTATAGTAAAATGTATGAGATATATATACATTTTACTTTACATATGTACGTCACATCATATGTTGCTCTATATTATGTTTTGACCAATTTTGTTATTCTTTTTAGATTATACTTTCTTTCTCTTCATTTTTTGTTAGTATTCCATTACTAGATAAGCTTGAGTCTCAACACAAATTGACAGTTATTGGGACGATTCGTAAAGACAAAAGGGAATTGCCTAAACAATTCACGGAAATACGAGTAAGAGCTGAAAAGTCCAGTTTATTCGGGCACCGAGGCAATTGCAGTCTTGTGTCCTATGTACCGCAAAAAGGCAAAAATGTCCTTCTGGTATCCAACATACACGATGATGCACAGATCAATGAAGATACAGGTAAACCGGAAATGATAATGGACTACAATAGAACCAAAGATGGAGTTGATACCGTGGACAAAATCTGTGAGACTTACAACGTTGGACGTGGTACAAATAAATGGCCAATGGTGGAATTTTATGGCCTGACGAATGAAGCGGGTATAAGTACATTTATAATATACCTGCACAACATCCCTATCAAGAATATTAGACGTAGGATCTTTCTTAAAGCCTTAGCATATGATCTGATCAATCCGCAACTTAGACGTCGGGCTATCACTACATCCTTGCTGAGAACCATAAGGCTCAGACTTGCCGAAATATGTAAATTAGATTGAACCGATTCTTCAGCAACATCTAAAAATAATAAAATAGGTTGGTGTGGACACTGCTCATCGAAAAAAAACCGCAAGGCACGTTACAACTGTGCCACTTGCAAAAAATACTTTTGTTTGGAACATGCTGTAACCGTACGCCCTGATCATTATGGTGAGGGTCAAAACTAAGCCAAATATAGATAATTATGTTCTTTCATATGTTGTTTATTACTATTTAGAAGTTTATTTTGTTTTTAAAAATAAGTACCGATTTTATTTAGGTTTTCTTAGTATGTAAGGAAAAAATCTTATATTCGAAGACTGATTTGTGATAGATTGAAAGTTAGTGAAATAATTAAAAATTAAGTATTATTCATACTATTTTGTTTCACTATGTCCTAAGCTTTGAAATGATAATAACATTTTTTGGGATTCACAGTAAAAAAGTATTTTATAGGGGTACGAACCACCGGTCTGTGAGACCGTGCGCGAGTATAGGAGTTTTAATTTCGATAGCCTCTTGTATCATCCTTGGTAGGAATCGGTGTTCTTTTGCGAGGATTTGTGGTTTATGAAATCGCATGTAATGGTGGGGATGATCTTGAACATGTTCGCAGACTGCAGACTTCCCGGAGCGTGCTCGTTTTGCGCAAATCGGACCAAAAATTAATATTCAAAAACTGAAGGTAGCCGGACTAACTATGACATTAGGACGTCAAACATCTCAGTCCCCCCCGTGACCATGGGTGTTGTAAAGTACCCGAAGCCTCGGGAATTAAAAATAAGTAAAAGTAGTGAAATAATAGCGATAAAATCTGTAAATTTAGTTTTATTCAGTTTACCATTGTAAAGATTTAGAGCCAAGCGAAGAAGCAGCCGAACAAACTAAATTTCCATTACAGCCTATAAAAATCTACTGCTGAATATAGGCTTCCTCCATATATTTCCTCACAGGGGGAAGTTTCTTGTAAAATGAACTGGACGATTTATAAAACAATTCTGCAACCGCAGTGAAAAATTGATTATTAGTCATGCGATGAATTCTGCCCATTCCAAAAAACAAACCCTCTTAGAAATATGAAAATGAAAATAGGTCTCTCCTATAGATAGCGTCATAGGGGGATGTTTACTCTTGTTGCCAATTGCCACACTTGGCAAGCGAGTTGGCAGCCGTTAATTTTAGTAGTTATTAGGAAGACGCTGCTGCCCATCTCCTGGTTTGTTTCCCCCTGTCGCATCTTATGACACCATTGGATGCTATGGTATAGTGGATATTCTTATGACTCCATTGGGTGCTATGGTATAGTGGATATTCTTATGACTCCATTGGGTGCTATGGTATAGTGGATATTCTTATGACTCCATTGGGTGCTATGGTATAGTGGATATTCTTATGACTCCATTGGGTGCTATGGTATAGTGGATATTCTTATGACTCCATTGGGTGCTATGGTATAGTGGATATTCTTAAGACTCCAATGGGTGCTATGGTATAGTGGATATTCTTATGACTCCATTGGGTGCTATGGTATAGTGGATATTCTTATGACACCATTGGATGCTGTGGTATAGTGGATATTCTTACACCGACAATACGCGGGTAAAAATAGTACAACTTAAATCTTTGATTTTATTAATATTCTAGCTATAGATCACAATGTTTTGATTTTTTTTATAGAAGAGGGGGCACACGAACATGCGTCTCATCTGATGTTAAGTGACTACCGTCGCCCCTGATCAACCGCAATACCAGGGAAATTGCAGGTGCATTGCCGGCCCTTTAGAAAGGAGTACGCTCTTTTCTTGAAGGTCCCCAGGTCGTATCGGTCCGAAAAAATCGCTGGTGATAAACTATTCCACAGAGAGGTTGTACGCGGAAGAAAACTCCTCTTGAAACGTACAGTGGCGGAGCGCCAAGCATCCAGGTGGTGTGGATAGTATCGGGACGTTTGCTGCGTAGTGCATTCACGAAATTTGGCGGCTGGGATTAATAAATTAAAAAAAAACATAATAAAGTTTACATTGCTGTATGAGTTATTTCGCCGTTATTATTATAAGTAATTTTATATGAGAAAATCAAAGAGCATAAAATAATCATTACGTTTTAGGGATGATAATAACATTCATTCTACAACTTCTGTTCTGTGATTTTATGAATAACAAATTGCATTGAAAAAAAATTGATAGAAAACATGTCTAGTACATACGAAAATAGTCCTTTCAATCAGAGTACCATTACAACTCGCTGTCCGCCCAGCACCCCTTAACCACCACACCATGATGCTACAAACCACATCAAATTTTTAGCCACCAGTGAAATTAAAAATTGGATGACCTCAATCAAATAGTGCCTAAATGAAGTTTGCCATATTGCCCAGAAGGGAAAACTGAACTCAGAACAAAAGCCAAGAATGAATTCCCTATCGCGCAAGATCGGTAATGCAGCCTCTCAGATGGCAATTTACTACCAATCTTTGAAGCAAAAGGCTATTTTAATGCACACCTCTATTGAAGCACTGAGAGAAAAACAAGACCTAATGGAATGCCTTAATGATTTTAGAAAATCTCTTAAGGAAACGATTCTAGAAAACGGTGCCAAACGGTCTATAAAAAAAATGTCCTTTGCTAATATGGTTAAAACAACCAACAATAATTATTTGCGCCCCAATACATTCAGTTCCATAGCAATTTACCCTGAGAATAAATTAAAAACAAGTGAAGACACAAAATCTCTTGTCCAGAAAATTATATGCCCCGAACAATTGAAATTACACGTAAGAGAACTACGAAAAACTAAAAATGGATAACACCCCCATATCATCACTGATACAAAAAAGGACATTGAGAAGTTAAAAAAATCTACTCAGCTTATTGGTTCCGGACTAAAGGTGGAAGAGTCCCATTAAAGAAAACCAAGGATATAGTCTTAGGAATACCTACCGCCCTTAGCGAACGAGAAGTCTTTTACTGCTTTTTTGATCAAAATTTTGTCGATAAGATCCCTAACTTAACGCGGGAATCTTTTTTGTCCTTAATTTTTTTGTTTAAGTCATAAATCGGGTAAAATACAAGCACTTTCATGCAACTTTATTTTGGAAGTGCCAGCAGGCATCAGGAAGGCACTTATCAACCAGGAGCAAGTCTTCATAAATTGTACGTTGTGCCCAGTTCGAGACTTCTCACTTGTGACCAAGTGCTTCAAATGCCAACAGTACAGACACGCTGCAAGAACTTGCCGGGAAACAATCAACACGTGTGGACATTGTGGTAATTTTTTTTATAGGATATGGTGACAAATGAGCACACAGTCCACCTGATGGTAAGTGGTTGCTCCGGGCGATATACATCTACATCACGTTGTCACCGGTGAGGATTGAGATGGCGTCCTTTATTATGGTTGACTCATCAGAAAAAGGTCATAACGTGGTTCAGTACATGGCTTTCTTCCAGAGCCAGGCTTCTCTTGAAGGAACCGGTCTCTAGATAGCGCTGTCAGGTCCTTTGGAATACTGAACGACTATCATTTAGCCTCTGAGCCACTAAACATTGGTTGCAACACTTCTCAGACAGCGGAATAATTATGATGACTTTTATCAGCTTTCGCGGGATTTGTAATCACAAATGGTCTACCATTTTTTCTTCTAGTTGAAAAAAAATCTGTGTACTACCCGCTGTATAATAATAAAATAAAACTAACAGCACCGATTGCATATAAAAAACGAAGTACTCCGGGTTCAACAATGTCTGAAACGCAAAAATTAAAATGTAAAAATAAAGGATAATTCCTAAAAGTATTAACAATTGGTTAAAAGTTATTAAGAGATTATATTGATTTTCCGTGGTAGAGCCATGATACAGCTATATTATACAGAGCATGGACCGAGGAAGGAGCTTGCTATCACAGAAAATTAGCGTTAAACAGCCGCTTAATAAATTTTAGTCCCTAGAGGAGCACCTGTATTTTGATACTTAATCGAAGATCGATATACTTGTAAATGGTCTACAACATCCACTTACCCACTGATGGATTGTGTGCACATTTATCACCCTAATTTTATTAAAATAGAACTATAGTTCCGACGTACGTGACAAAGTTCTCACATACACAAAGTTCTATACGATGTTTTTCTTACCGCTGATGGCTTGGAAAGCCAGTACCAAAAATAACATTTTACAATTTCAATGATGTCTTCGCCGATGAGGGAATCATCAATTTTGTGTAAGCGAAACTTTTTATTTTTTGAAAACGAACTCCGGCATACCAAATCAAATGGAAAAATAAATTTCCCAAAGGATCTTTTGACAGAATACAATTGGATGAGGCCACGAAATGAAAAGTTAGTAAACGTACACCTCGTTCATTCAATGTCCAGCTTCCATCGTTGTATACCCTGCATGTGAGGGCAAGTAATTTATTTTTATTTGTATTGTTGTACTACAATTCATTCTCTCCAAATCGTTACTGGCGAACACAACATTCTCGTTCAGCAGACGGAATAAGCTGACAGAGACTGAGCATCTATTTTCTTACGTGAAAGATGTGATACATCTTTCACCTTAGGTTACATATTAAAAAAGTATAATGAGTAACATAATATTTTATACTTTTCGAATTAACTCTTTATATTGAAAAACAATTCAATGCGCATTAATAACCGCACCTACTCAAAAATTGGAACTAAATAGGGCGTGGTCATAGATATATACTTATAATCCTTATTCTTATAATATAAAATGAAAAAGGAATGTTAAAGTTTGTTTGCTTGGATGTTTGTAATTCAAACACATTACAATGGATGAAAGGGCTTTAATTAAATTTGACGTATAGGTACATCTGCTCATGGAAAATAATGGTGTTTGTCTTTGTATATTAAGGTAGAAAATTTATGGAATGATGCGTAACACTTTATTTACTACAGAATATTCATAAATGCAAAATACGTCCAATATAAAATAAAAAATAAGCTTATTTTACAACAGATAAGCAAGCACTGGGGGTCCTGCATATTTTATTGCATTCT